CCTTTTCTTCAGTATTGCTTTGGCAATTCTGGGTCTTTTGTGATTCCATATAAATTTTAGGATTATCTGTTCTAGTTCTGTGAAAAATGTCCTGGGTAATTTGATAGTGATCACATTCAATCTGTAGATTGCTTTGGGTAGTATGGCCATTTTAATAATATTAATTCTTCCAATCCAAGAATATGAGATATCTTTCCATTTCTTTAAGGCATCTTTAATTTCCTTAGTCAGTGTTTTGTAGTTCTCCACATGTAAGTTTCTCACTTCCTTGGTCAGATTTATTCCTAAGTATTTTATTTTTTTGGATGAAATTTTAAAAGGGATTTTTTCTTTACTTTCCTTTTCTCATATTTCATTGTTAGTGTAAAGAAATACAACTGATTTCTGTTTATTAATCTTGTATCCTGCTACCTTGCTGAATTATTTTATCAGCTCAAGTAGTTTTGTGTGGAGCCTTTAGGGTTTTCTATATATAGTATCATATAATCTGCAAATAGTGACAATTTTATTTCTTCTCTTCCAATTTGGACCTTCTAAAATCTCTTTTTCTTGTCTGATGGCTGTGGCTAGGACTTCCAATACTGTATTGAATAGAAGTGGTGAGAGTGGGCATCCTTGTCTTGTTCTGGATTTTAGCAGGAAGGCTTTCAACTATTCACCACTGAGTACTATGCTGGCTGTAGGCTTGTCATAAATAGCTTTTATTATGTTGAGATATGGAGGCAAGAACATACAATGGAGTAAAGACAGTCTCTTCAGCAAATGATTGGGAAAGCTGGACAGCTGTGTGTAAATCAGTGAAGCTAGAACACTCCCTCACAACATACACAAAAATAAACTCAAAATGGCTTAAAGACTTAAATATAAGACAGGACACTATAAACCTCTTGGAAGAAAACATAGGCAAACCATTATCTGACTTAAATCTCAGCAATGTTCTCCTAGGGCAGTCTACCCAGGCAATAGAAATAAAAGCAAAAATAAACAAATGGGATATAATTAAAGTTATAAGCCTTTGCACACCAAAGGAAACCATAAGCAAAATAAAAAGACAGCCTATAGAATGGGAGAAAATATTTGCAAAAGATGAGACTGACAAGGGCTTAAATTCCAGAATATATAAACAGCTCATACAACTTAATAAAAAAACAAACAACCCAATCCAAAAATGGGCAGAAGACCTAAACAAGCAATTCTCCAATGAAGACGTACAAATGGCCAACAGGCACATGAAAAAATGCTCAGTATCATTAATTATCAGAGAAATGCAAATCAAAACTATAATGATATATTACCTTACACCACTCAGAATGACCATCATTCAAAAGGCCACAAACAATAAACGCTGGAGAGGGTGTGAAAAAAAGGGAATATCCTACACTGTTGGTGGACATGTAGTTTGGTGCAGCCATTACGGAAAACAGTACAGAGATTCCTCAAAAGACTAAAAATAGACTTACCATATGATCCAGCAATCCCATTCCTGAACATATATCCAGAGAGAACCTTAATTCAAAAAGATGCATGCACCCCAGTGTTCATAGCAGCACTATTTACAACAGCTAAGACATGGAAACAACCTAAATGTCCATTGACAGATGACTGGATAAAGAAGTTGTGGTATATTTATATAATGGGATACTACTCAGCCATCAAAAAGAATAAAATAATGGCATTTGCAGCCACATGGATGGACCTGGAGACTGTCATTCTAAGTGAAGTAAGCCAGAAAGAGAAAGAAAAGTACCACATAGTATCACTTATATGTGGAGTCTTAAAAAAAAAAAAGAAAGAAAGACAAACGAACTTATTTACAAAACAGAAACACACTCACAGACATAGAAAACAAATTCATGGTTACCAGAGGGGAAAGAGGAGGGGAAGGGATAAATTGGGAGTTCAAGATTTGCAGATACTAATATATATAAAATAGATACACAATTCATACTGAATAGCACAGGGAACTATATTCAATACCTTGTAGTAACTTACGGTGAAAAAGAGTAAGAAAATGCATATATGTATGTTCATGTATGATAAGCGTTGTGCTGTACACCAGAAATTGACACAACATTGTAAACTGAGTACACTTCAAAATGTATATGTGTGTGTATATATATATATGTATAAAATAAAATTAAATTAAAAAATTAAAGACGTTAACAGAGATGAACTAAGTGAAAGCCGTTTTGATTTTCTTCTATTTACTTTTAGTACTTTGTAAATAAAAGAGAGCTGTAAAGACCACTCAAAATATATCAAACAAGAATTAACTGGGCCAGTATTATTTATAATATTATCTTCATTGAACATTTAATTCTACACTAAATCTGAGTAGAATTAAGGCAATGATTACATGCAAGATCTGAGACTACACTGGGGCCTACTGAATATACATTTCAACAAGATCCTGGGTATCGTGTATTACATTAAAATCTGGGAAGCAGCAAGTATGCCCCAGTTACTTGTGCACACCTGTACCACAGCATTTATTATACAGTATTTACAACTCTGTTTACTTTTCTAAATCCCATATTAGATGGTGAGATTGTTTAAAGCACAATCTAAGACTTTTGTCTTTGTTGTTCTACATCCATTGCACCTGGTACATAATAAATACTCTAGAAATGTTTGTTAAACAAATGGGTAAATAAGCAAGAAGGGATGAAAGAAAAGTAAATGCAAATTCAGTCTGTTGTTCTCCTGTAGCAATTCATCAATTACATGGCAATACAGGAATATTCATTACAAATGACAGAGAAAGGTCTTAAAAGTTATTTTTAAAAAAACACTGTTTAAATGTATACGTATCCTAAAAACACATTATGAAATGTTTTACCCTCAAAAAACAGTACATAAATCCAAGACCACACCTAAAGTCTCATAACGTTTGCCCTTTCTTTAAAAAAAGAGTCCCACACTCACAATATGATATAATATCACCAGTTGGTATACAAGCTAGCAGTTGAAAAGATAGAAATAAATTACTTTCAGATTTCTATTGTTTTCCCGATGACACACAAATTATACTACTGTTTATCTTTAAGACTGCAGCTGCTGCTTGCTCTGCATCACTGTTTACTGTAATTACAGCCTTCAGATTTCATTCTGACCCACATCCCATTATAGGGTATGCTCAGGCCAGATGAGCAATTTCAGAAATCGGCAGCACTGACAGATGTTTGCAAAACTTGGCATTAGAAATCTTTTTTTCTAATAGTATGAAAATTCTTTAGTATACCTTCACCCTTCAATAAAAGTCCTCACCTGGCTGTTTCTCGCCACTCAGCATCCTCACCTTCACGCCAGCAAATCTCATCCAGTTCTGTGAAAAGGTCATGAGGAATGTGTTCCTCATCATCATCCTCAGTTCCAAGAATAAACTGCACCCGCTGTGACGGGGTGTCTATGGAAATCAGAGACATGAACATGTATTACCACGACTTCAGGCTTAAAACGTCCCGGTCACGGCTCTCAGCACCACTCCAAACTCAAACCTCCTCTGTCCCCTGCTACAACATTCATCCAGAGTGGGCTTGGGAAATTGAAACTACATTTAGCATTACATTAAGTCTAGTATAATGTGGGGTCATAAATATGTCAAATGTAAATATGTAATGTATATGTATTATCAAAAATAAAATCAAATGTGATTATTATTTTGTATTACTTATAGCATCATTGAAACTATTTCTACATCTTACAAACACACACATTTTCTCTCATCCCATATGCTATATTTTATGGTAATTGTTAGGGTAGACTATGATAAAAATCACTGAATCTAAAATTGTGCTGAACACAATTCACCAAAGAACTTTCTTGTGATGCTTCTTTGTAGACACACACTCATCCCTCCCTTAAGCCCTGGAAACCACTAATCTGGTCCCTATAGGCTGCTACAGTTTTGCCTTTTCAAGAATGCTACGTAAACGGAAACATACAGTGTGCAGCCTTTTGAGACTATTGTTACTCACTTAGGACAATGTCGTTGAGATTTATCTGTGTCACTGACTGTATCAGTAATTCTTTTTATTTTGATGTTTGAAAGTGCCCTTTTCAGCACTTCAAAATACCAGATGGCTGTGGATAATAGAGAATATGGAACGTCCAAGAGATACCTTGACTATCAGCCAATTTTTGAGTAGCTTTGGGAATAAAAAGAGCATGGTTATCTGACTTCAAATGGTTCAGAAAGCTAAGCACATAACAAAGATTAGTTTCAAGGGCCACAGTGGTGTATCTAGAATCAACTGTTCAGACTGAACAACATCATAACCTCAGATTAGAGACATTTGCTTAGATAACATTTCTTAAAATCTTGCCTGGTTTCAATGTAAGGGTTACAGGACTTCTCCAGGGCTGACCACAAGAATTTATCAAAAGTTCTTTGGTTGAGTTTTTCATTCTTTGGCAGGTTATTTATACCAACACTGCAAACTCAATCCAGGATAGTAAAAGCCCTATACTAACCAATGCCTCATCTATGGTTTCCCTTCGAGATTATCTCTTTCAGGGAAATCTCCAAGAGAGGGCCAAAGTTCCCTTGCAGCACACAGAATCCACTACAGAAAATTCAAAGAACTTTTACTGTCATCTCCATATTATCTAAAATTAGCATAATAGACTTTAAGGAGAATCTGAGCTAAAAAACAGCCCCACTGTTGCCATTCTTCTGTAACCGGCATTACACGATCCACCTCACTCATTTCTCAAGAAAACCAGTTAGCATTCTAATGATCTGCCTGTTTTCTGCACATAATGTTCATGAATTTCCCTCTCATGTTCAGTATAGGTAGATACCTCTGAAACTGTTGTCTGAAAGAAAATGCAAACTTGTTGAACTAGTTGTTACAAATGGATGAATCTGATACTGCCTGCCATATTGTCAAATAAATTTCCCTGCCTCCAGGAGAGTCAGTACCAATTATTCAAGCAACTGTCTTTAAATCTATATCCTTGTTCTCAGCTTACAACTATCACTCCAATTCTTCCTCATTAGCAGGCAATAAAGTAGAGTAATATTGACTGCTCGACTGACTTACAATCTGATCAAAAAGACTGGTACCAATACCCATAGACTTGGCTCAAAGTTCATTAATCATTCCATTAACCAGCTGTAAGGCCCTTCTTCTTCCTCCAAAATGCCATGTCTCTGTCAGCATCCCTTCCTCATTGTCAAAACTGTCAGATACTGTGCAAGGTGTCAAGACTAACCCTGACAGTTTTATGGATACTGGTAAAAGACATGAAATACCTGGATCAGAGACAGAAGACAGTTTATCATCTCACAGCAATAGCATCAATGAGAGAATCATCATTTATGTTACCCCAAGCCCCGAATCCCACAGGAAGATGTGAAAAGTGCCAGAAGATGCTGCATACACAGTAAGAAGTGTTACAGGAGAGAATCATGGTTCGGGAATCCCACTCTTTCATAATGGACAGTAAGCCTCCCTGACTTTTGTCTCATGAGGAGATACATATAACCTTTACAATACTAGACAATAAACAAATCTACCTTTGCCCCAGAAGGAAATATTATCTCTATCCTCCAAGTCCACTCACTATACAAACATCCTTAAAAAGAAAGGCACAAAGGCACTCAGTGTCTGTGCTCACAAGATATACAGGGATGTGAGAGATCCAATGAGAACAGTCTTCCAACAACCATCTTCATTGGCCATACCAGTCACGTTCAGAAAACATCTTTGAATTCTACCCTGTTAAACTGAAATTATCTTTGGGAAACTTTCTACCATTTTCTATATTTAAATATTCCCAATTTTATTTGCCAATTCTTACATTCACTCTCTGAGGATTAAAAAAAAAAAGAATCCCTGGGGATTTTGTCTTCATTATTTCCTCTTTCATTTATATTTACTGATTGTTTACCTAGATATCTTTACCATGCTGCTAGATGCAAAATAAAAATATAAAATCCAATATATTCCTACACTGAGGTAAAAATTACTATAAAATCTAGCAGGAAAAAACCTCTATTTAGTTTAGAAACAAAGATACGTGGTTTTCTATAAATAAATCCAGCAAAATTATGCAATATATTTGTGATAAAAATGATAAAACTTTATTGAATGATGTAAAAGTAGACCTAAATAACCGAATAAATGTACATTAATGGGAAAGCCCAATAGTGGAAAACTATCTTCTAAAAGCAACGTTATTCCAATAAAATGTCTGGTATTTTCAAATATTTTTTAAATGAGTGAATCAGTAACAAGCATACAGTAATTACTGAAATCTATAATATTAAACATTTTATTTGCGAAAATAAGCTAATTAATCAGTAATCTGAAGGATTAAGTTATAACTAAGCCACAACTGAGAGGATTTCAGAACTCAAAAGTGAAAAATACACATATATAATATAAAATATAATATAGTGTCATATCTTCTGTATCAATAAATGTTTGTGGTGGGGCCCCAGCCTCTGCCCACCTTATTAGCCTTATCTTCTGTCACTCTTCCCCTTGTAATTCCATTCTGGGTCCCTTAGCCTTCTTTCAGATTTTTAAAAATACCATGCTCCTTTCCACTCCAGGGCCACTGCACATACTGTTTCCTCTTGCTCTCCTATGTATCTTTCAGCATCTACTTCACTGTAATACGCTTCAGCAAGCCTACGTAATCAGCCTCGTAAAACATAAACATACACATAAGCACGTTCATATGCAAACAATTAGGTCAGGCACCTGTTTTCCTAATTAATAGCACTCTATATACTTCTTGCTACACTTATCTCCATTGCAGTATAAAATTTATGGTTCAGTAACAAATTAAATACTTTAAATAAATATTTCCACCTGCCAGAATTAGTTTCCTAGAAAAAAACAAGATCAAGTCCCAAAAGAGGAAATTATGCATGTAAAAATACCTTTCAAATTATAAATCATTATATAAATACTATTAATGATGATTGATGCTGATGTTAATGGTAGTGGAGATGGCTGTAATGATGATACAGGTCTGTCAAAATAGAGAGATTTAGAATTTGAAGCAGGGAGAATAAAAAAATTATAGTGCCACTAATGTTAAAAGGGTTATAACATGGATGGGCCTTAAAGGCATTAAGAGAAATAAAGACAAAGATTTTCTGTATGTGGAATCTTAAAAAAAGACAGAACAAAACAAAAACACCAAACTCATGGAAAAAGAGATCAGATCTGTGCTTACCCTCAGAGGCAGGGGGTAAGGAGAGGGGTAACTGGAGGAAAGTGTTCAAAAGATAAAAACTTCCAGTTATAAGATAAACAAATACTAGGGAAGTCATGTACAATATGGTAACTATAATTAACGCTGCTGCATGGCATATAAGAAAGTTGTTTAGAGTAGATCCTGAGAGTTCTCATCTCAAGGAGGCATATTTTTTCTTTTCTTTTTCTTGTGTCTATATGAGATGATGGATGTTAACTAAACCTATTCTGGTAATCATTTCACAGCATATGTAAAGCAAACCATCAAGCTGTGTACCTTAAATGTATACAGTGGGGTATGTTCATTATGTCTCAGTAAAAAGGAGGGGAAAGAGAGTTGTCAGAATGAGGAGCCAGTCAGAATCCACATCTCAAAAGTAGCCATGCTTCAACATTGATATGTTCCTCATGTTTTTGAAATATTTTCCCTCATCACTGTTTTCAATGACTTACTGCAGTTTACTCTGCATCAGTAATCTAGGTGTCTATAATACCACGCATCCAGCTCCCAAAACTCAATAGCTATACGCATAAACTTACATTTGAGACTTATTAAGTGTTTCCCTTAAAAAAGCATGCGAATCACTCAATACAACCTTTAAAACACTAGTCACAAAGTAAACATGAGGAAATAGACCTTCACAGTTATGAAGAAAGAGGATTTGAAAGTCTGAGGTAGGGTACCAGGTATTTAAAAGACTTCTGTAAGACACAACGATAACAGCAATAGGAAATAATAATTTACTGAAGAAGGCTAATCTATTATTCACAGACAAGAGGTATTTTATTTGGGCTTTAAATAACATAGAGCTCCCTGTATCTGGTTTTTCATTCTTTAAAGTAGAAATGATTTTATAGATATTAGGTCGTGCTCACAAAAATCTTTTTATGATCATCCTATCAACACAGTTTTAACATCTTAAAAAGAGACTCAGATTATGTTTCAGTACAACAAAAGTTCAAGATGTATTATTCATGACTTTTTTTTATGTCTATGCAACTTAAAATTGTACAACAAATCATGTAAATTAACAGTAATATCAAAAACAGAATTTTCAAAGCATAAATATTTCTCCTATGTTGATAGGCATTTATTTTTAAGACAGCTGCTGAAAACATAGATCATTGTAATACAAATTGGACCTAAGAATATGACATTTTAAGGTAAAGGTCTGTTTCTATATTTAGTAAA